CTTAAAGCTTTCCCCCCAGGATGAGAGAAGAAAAACACAATCCACTCTCACTTCATGGCTACATTATAGTACTCCACGCTCTACCTAAGGCAATCGAATAATAAAAAGTAACAAAAGGCATCCAGATTTGAAAGGAAGCCACCTATATTCATAGATGACATAATTTTATAATATCCTAAAGAACATGCACACACAGTTATTAAAGCAATAATATTAAAGCAATAAATGAATTTGGTGAAGTTGCAAAGATCCAACATAATCAGCTATATTTCTATATCTTTGTTGTAGCAATGAATGCACAAGTTTAAAAACAATTACATTTTCAAAAGCATCAAAAATAAAACATCTGAGACCAAAAATAAACTTAATCAAGGAGGTATGGAGCTAATAGTATGAAAATTTCAAAATAATGCTCCAATTAAAGACCTCAATAAATGGACATTCTGTGCTATAAATTAAAATGCATAATTTTAAGATGGAAATACCCTATGTATCTGCCACAACTGTTAAAATTTTTCAACTGCTTTTTTGCAAAAATGGATAAACTGATCCCAAAATTCATACAGAATTCCAAGAAACTGAATAGCAATACAGTTTTGAAAAAAACAAACCTGCAAGACTCAAGATTTCCCAATTTTAGTGGTAAAAAGCTATCCTAATTAAAACAATACATTATTGTCAACAAAGAGGGAATCAAAATAAAGAGTCTTTTGGATCTAAAGTTTTTTTGCTGAGTTAAAAATGTTCTGGTGTTAGATAATGGTGATGTTTGCACAATATCCTAGAATATCCTTAGAATAGAATATCCTTAGAATAGTGAATAGTACACTTCAAAACTGTTGAAGTGGTGAATTTCATAATTTTGAAAAAGTCTATCAGAAACACTAGTTTACATTCTACAGGTGACAAAGATGTGATTCTTATAGACTGCTGGAGAAGAGTTTAAAACTTCAGTAGCTTTTATATTGCCAAACATTGAGTTAACATTGATCCAGCAATTCCAAGAGAAATAATACATATTCAAAAAGACTTGCATATAAATGTTCACAGTAGCTTTATTCACAGTAGCCCTATGCTAGAAAAATCCAAATATGTATCAAAAGGCAAATGGATAAACACATATATGAATGCTACTAACCAAGAAAAAACATTATATGTAACGACTGAATCATAAAAATACACCATGCAACATAATTATAATCCACAGGTACAAAGTACATATGTGGTTTTTTACTTTTATTTATTTATTTATTTTGAGAAAGGGTCTTCTTTGTAAGACAGGCTCGCACTGAACTCACAGTGATCCTTCCCACCTCAGTTTCCTTATGCTGGAACTACAACAGTGCAATACCATGCCTCACTATGATTTTATTTACCTTAAAGTACAATACAGGCAACATTATTTTATAACAATAAAAATCTGAAGAGTGTTACTTCTGGTCAGAGAAGGGAGACTGAAAAGCAGAATGAAGTATCCTGAGATCACTACTGACAGACATGTTCTACATTTTGACTGGATTATGACACAGATGAAGTATGGTTGATAAGAGTATTGCATGTGGTTTAAGCATACCAGAAATTTTTAAAATTTACATGATGAGACTTCTGAGTCTTACAGTGAACCGGTCTCGCGGATGTAGTACACTGTAGGTGCTCAACACAGGAGAAAAGAAGGAAGTAGGGACAGATCATTTTATAGACATGGCTAAATACTATGAGTTTAGTACTATCTAAAGGAACTAATAGTTTATTTCAGGGTATAAACCAGCCTCTAAACCAGTTTCTTACCTGTAATACCATCTATAGATACCACAGCAGCCTCTGACTCATATTTTCTCAGACATCTATTCCCATTCTCCATCTCTGATAATTCACTTATGCTGCCTTCAAAGATTTGATAATGCTGTTATCCTAGCTTATACTCATTTGAGACAAGGACTTCAGTGCCACAGCCACTAACCAGTCCTATCCTTTCACATGCTAATTTTGTAAAACTAAGAACTTGAAGAATCTTAGGTCCTCCAGTTCATCAGGCTAGTGAGACTATAAATGTGAAAATTAAATAATAACAATAGCAACAGGACATACTTAATGGTGATGTTTGCACAATATCCTAGAATATCCTTAGAATAGAATATCCTTAGAATAGTGAATAGTACACTTCAAAACTGTTGAAGTGGTGAATTTCATGATTTTGAAAAAGTCTATCAGAAACACTAGTTTACATACTTAAGTAAATAAAATTGTCAATATTTAGCAAATGAATCAAGTAAGAATTATTAACATTGAAGTCCCCAAGCCGGATGTAGTGTTGCTCTCCTGTAATCCCAGCACTCAGGAGGCTGAGACAGGAGAAGCAAGTTCAAGACCAGTCTGGGCTACAAAGTGAGCCCAAGGCCAGCATGAACCACATAGTGAGCTCCTGTCTCAAAAAAAAAAAAGAAAGAAAGAAAGAAAAAAAAATTGAAGTCCCCAAAAGAACAGAAGATAAAAGTTGAATCTAAGCTAGTTTGCTATAGGTAAGAAAATCAATTGATAACCGGGAGGAAAGACTTAAGCAAAAACCGCAAAGAGAGAAGAGGTACACACTGCAGCAGAATTACTCTGTCTAAGTTCTACAATATAAAATCTATACTTGGGGGACGAGGGATATAGTTCAGCAGTGGAGTACCTCCCCAGCAAGCATGAGGCTCTGAGAAAAGAAAGGGAAAAAAAAAAAGAGACCAAACACTGTTTTTTTGTGCTTGGATATGTGTGACATAATCTGGGGAAAAAAAGCATATTTGGTCTCAACTGATAATCACAGAAAGTAGTGGAATAGACTGAGCAAATATTATCTTCATTCACAGATCAGAAAATTCTAAAATACATCCAAGGTCATAAAACTGCAGGGCCAGTACTGAATGAAATTTATTTCTCTTGATTCATGACCAAACGTTCATCTGATCAGAACCATGATCTGCTCAATGTTCTCCCATTCTACTTAACAGAACTCTTTAATCAAGTTTCTTACACAAATAATACTCTTCCCATTTGTTTCTTCCTGAACATAAACCCTGAATTGTAAGGATTCTTCTCAAGCACATTTTCATATTTACCAATGAAACACATCACTGCTACGACAAGTATGGTTTCTATCTTTACTGGTTATAGGTATATAATCAAGTGCTTCTTCTGTGGTTACTAAAAAAGTTGGATTCCAATAATATATTTTTTAAAAACTAACTTGATTGAGAATACAGATTTTCCTATATGCACAAAATCTCCCAAAGACTCAGTCTTCCTCTCCTCACTACATTTCACGTTTTGTAACAGTACACATAAGCTGTCTCAACCTCTCAGCCATTATTTTCATCTAGCACTAGCTTTCATCATCTACTCAAAATCTCATTAACTAAAATCAACACCTTCCACACCAAAATTAAGGCTTACTATTCAAGTCTTGGTCTTTTTGAACTGTCTCAGAGATGAGGTGTTTCATGGTTTGCTTCAGTGGTCCTCAAGCCTCATATAATCATGTGTTTGTGATTGGTTCATTGTCTAGTGCTTGGATTGGTGGTGTGAGTGCTACACCAGCCTAGGAGTGGAACCAGCATAGGATGTAAAGGTGGAAAGAAGGTGTGTGTGTGTGTGTCTCTCTCTTTCTTGCCAGTTTCCGCTTTGCTATTTGCAGCTGCCATGAATGGGTGCCCCGCCATGAAATACTGCCTTGGAGCCAACTGAGTATGGACCAAAATCTCCAATCTGTAAGAAATAAATCTTTTCTTCCTTCATTTTGGGTGTCAGGTATTTTGTCTCAGCAAGCAGTAAAAAGTAACTAAGACAAGGCGCTACCAAGGTTCACTAGAACAACTAAGGAGTTTTGTTACTCTATTCCAGGCAGTACACTAATTAAGATTCAAATGTTATATTTAAACTTTACAATAGTGCTAACTTTACAATAACTCTAAACCATTTTACACCTTTTCATAGATTAAAATTGAGACCCAAAATTAAAGCCATACAAATAAAATCTGAATGACAGGATTCTGTGACTTCTGACCAGAGTTCTGTTCACAGTTATCTTCTTACCTCTGTGGTCTTTTCTCCATCTTTCACTCTCATTTCATCATCTACTACTCATTACTTCTTTATTTCACATGCTATCTGGGGCAATTTCAGCTTTTTCCATTGCTTTACCTATATTCTACATTACTGACTCTCAATCTTTTAATAAACACAAAAATCTTTTGCTCGCTCTGTAGTTTTTATTTTGAAAATAAGTTTTTTCCCCCAAATTAAACTATAATATTGTACATGTGTGCAGTCTACCACCTAATACCTCCACGATTTGTTTACCTCTTTCGCATAATCCATGACTGAGATCAACCAGTATAAAGTTTAAGCGACTTTGCAAAAAAAATTTTGCCCTGTCTGTCTTCCAGACCAGTCTCCTAATTCACAAACATCTGCAACTGCCTAGTAAGAGTTTAATTAATAAACACAGTCCCATGACTGTTGCTCCAGTTTCTTCAGCCTGAGCCCGTGCAAAACAAAAATCCTCATTTCCCTTGTCGAACCTGATCATTTCTTGTTTCCCATTTTGTCTAAAGGTGCCACAATCCGCCCTCCTCTGTGCTGTAAGATACTGACTAGCAAAATGATTAATAAGGACCCTGCTGCCCCGGAACTGCAGTGCTCGGTCACAAATCGCCCAAGACACCACGCGGGCCCTCTATGGCCGGAGTACAGTCACGCGCCACACTATGCAAGTCCGCTCTCCTCCTCAGGTGGGCCACAAGCACAACACCCAAAACAAGTTTTGTGAGGCAATTTTCTATTCATAAAACAACATCGGAACATTTCACAATCCTGTCCATGCACTCCTTACCACAAACCCGCTGCCCTGTTTTGCCAGAGAAAATGGGCTTCTTTTGCACTCTTAAAGCTGACAGACACACACACTCTTACACATACCAAGGACCCGGCCGCGCCGCCCCGCGCCCCAAACTTCGTCGTACCTGGAGGGCGGCGGCGGAGGCACGAGCCGTGGACCCAGCCCACAAGGATGCCCCGGTGGCGTTGTAGCGGCCACCACCCTTGGCCTTGCCCGCGCCGCTCGGTCACCTCTATGCCGCGTAGATAGCGAGCAAGCGGCAGCCAAAGATGATCAGGTCGCTCAGCTCACGGCGCCGGAGAGGCGGAGCCGACCGGCCTAGGGGCGGTGCTGCGGTCCAGCGCAAAAGGCGGGGCACCTGGCGTAAGAAGCGACCTCGAGGGCCCGTGGCGAGCGACGCGAGGGCGGGGCTGGGAGCGAGGGGCGGGCTGCGACAAGAAGACAGCGCCGGGAATGCGCGCGGCAGGACGCTGCGCGCGCAGCGAGAGGGGGCGGGGCGCGCGTACCGGCGCCGCGGCCGCGTGACGCGTTTTCAAATCTTCAACCGCCGCAGTCTGGCTGGCTGTGCTTCGTTCCCCTTGACCCGCTGCGCCGCAGAGCCGGAGTCCGCTCCGAAAACTCTGCCTGCCAACCCGGCCTTCCCCTGCGTGGAGGCTGTGCGGTCCGCCAGCTCTGAGGAGCCCAGTCCAGCGGCCGTCCGGCGCGGCGCCTGCCCGCCCCAGCATGTAGTGCCGGCGGCTGCCATGAACCGCGAAGCCATGAGGGTCCACAGCAAAGCGCCGCTCCAGGGTGAGCCCCAATGCGCGGCCTGCGGGAGCGAGCCCTTCCCGGCCCGGCCCGGCCCCTCGCGGTCACCAAGCCGGCCCCGCCTCGGTGCGAAGCCTGTGAGTGCGGGGACGCGCGCCCGAGCCCGGCTTCTTCCCTCGCGCCCGGGGCTGGGGCTGAGCCGGGACCCGGACTCCCCAAGTTTATTTGCGCTCACAGCGAGGGAGGTGTTTTTGAGACATACTTATTGTTCGCCTCAGCGTTATGCACACACTTGAAACCCGCGCACATCTCTGTTAATCGTTTATTTGGTAAAACAGTTCAGCATTTGAAGCCTTTTCATATACTTGTGTAACCACCAGCTAAAAGATGGGCTGTGTTCTAAAAGTTTAAAGCAGTAGGCTGTATTCCAGGTGTTTTCAGTGAAAACAATGAAACGGTGACATGGTCTTTAACGGACCTTTAAGTTTTAAAACTAGAGCAGTCGCTAGGCCTTGATGACTAAGTCGTTCTGTATGGGTTTATTTGTATTGCTGAGTGTTTAATATTTTAAGCACCGATTTTGAAGGTTCAGCAGAATACCAGATGCTCAATACCTAGTTGAGTAAATACCTCCGTGGAGTTTACATCTTAAGGCTTTCAGGAAAGTTATATAGTTTTGGTGCCTTAATACATCTTGCTGATTCAACTGCTAATTTCCAATAGAAAGTAGGACGTTTCGCTTTTATACTGTGGTAATAATAAAATAATATTTAAATGTTAATGGCTTACCTTGGTGTGATTATAAGAATTTTTCCTTCCTGTGATATGATTATTGCATAATAAAGTATTTTTAAAACTACTTTTTATCTGTAAGAAATAATTAATTTTAAGCTTTTTAAAATACAGGTGGAATCCAAGTCAAAAATGAAAAGAACAGATCGTCTTTGAAATCTCTTAAAAGTAATAACAGACCAGAAAAATCTAAATACAAGCCACTCTGGGGAAAAATATTTTACCTTGACTTACCTTCTGTCACCTTATCCGAAAAACTGCAAAAGGACATAAAGGACCTAGGAGGGGTAAGTGAAATCTGTCTACTGACTGAAAAGCAAAAATGTGTAATTAATACTCCCTAATGTCTAATTGTTTAAATTTTTCATTTTTGGGTATTTATAACCAACCATCTATTAGCACCAAGCCTAAATATTTTCAGCTATTTTTCATTATGAAAAATCATTTGACGACAGGAGCATGTTTAGCTTACCACAGAATTCAGTCTCAAAACAAAAAAAATCCATTTGTTTAAACTTGTAACTCCCATTTTTTGGGTGTGGATCTTTTTTGAGATTGTCTCGCTATGCAGTTCAGTTTGGCCTTGGACTCAGTTTGTAGCCCAGGCTGGCCTCAAACTTGTAAATGATCCTCCTGCCTCAGCCTCCCAAGTGCTCGGGTTACAGGAATGTGATGCCATGCCTGGCTTTTTCTAACTTGTTTTGTAGCCTCTGTTTCTACAGAATACAGAAAACCTGTTGAACCCACAGAGTTAAAATTGTTGAGTATCACACATGCTTTAAAAGATATTCTCATCAGATTGAGTGTCAGCATCATTAAAGGATCAGAATTAAGATTTAAATCTTAATTCTTAGGGTAAGAATTTTGAGATTAAGAGTTAAAACTTCTTTCCTACATTGTACATTGACTAGATAATTAGGAAATTGACAAACAGGTCCATCTTTGAAAACTTATTTTACTTTGTTACTATTCATTTCATTAAACTAAAATATTGTGACACTGTAATATCAGTAGCATTTATCATGATGAACACTCTGGTTTTTAAAGGTCATGTTTAAAGGTGTGCCCCCTATCAAGAGTGTTCTAATGTGTGAATGGCATTGGACATCAGTAAAAAGCCATTCGTTTTGGAAATGAAGTTCCAAAAAATTAGAACCTCTGGCATTGCCAGGGCCTCTGGTTGTTAAAATAGGATATGATATATTAGTGTCATTTCTATTCCTACCAAGCTCTGTATGAATTAAAATCTGAAATAAATAGGTATGAATGTTACTCAGGAGAATAATGATTTGCATTTAACTAAAAAAAAGTCATATTTCAGGAGCCAGTTCTCTATAATGCTTAGATGAAATGTATCCATTTTGAACTTTTTTCTTTACTTCTGCTTAGTATTTAGTGTCTTAACACATTTGTGTAATATATATGTTAATGCTATAGTATTTTTCTGTTTAGTTTAATTTTCCTGACCCTGCATATGGATGATGTTCAATGGCATTGATTGTGGCATGTGTGTTTATACATTCAGGCATTTATGCAGTTGTTCACGAATGTTTTAGTGCAGAAAATTGTCTTCAATCTTGCTCATGAGAGTAAAAGTTCCTTTCTAGTAATCTGGACAAAGTATCCTAACTTAATGTGTTGAACAGTAATCAAATATGACTATTTATATTCATTCAAATTAAAAGCTTAGTGTCTTGGTCATACCAACTCCACTTAAGTGCTCAGTAGCCACCTGACATGTTGTTCTTATTGGGTAGGATAATGCAGACGGGGACATTTCTATCATTGCAGAAAGTTCCACAGGACACTGTTGTGCTTATATTATAGATTAGAGTCAGAAGATCTCTGTTCAAATTGTTTTACTTAACCACTGGTCTAACATTAAGCAAGTCACTTAAGTTGTGTGCTCTGAAAAATAAAGAAAACATTAATGTCATGGGTTTGTTAGATCTGTTGCGTTAAGGTAAAAATACTTTAAGAATATCTAGCTCATATCATATAGTGTTGTTACTGGAACTCTTACTATCCTTAGAATTCCAGGTTCAGAAAAGTACAGCATAAAACACCACCAAATTATAAGATACTAAACTGCGTCAAATTGAAATTTTATGCTGTGCCTCCTGTGTGAAACTCTGTATGTTTGTATGACTCCCTTAAAAATACTGTTTTTTCCTCTAGCGAGTTGAAGAATTTCTCAGCAAAGATATAAGTTATCTTATTTCAAATAAAAAGGAAGCAAAATTTGCACAAACACTGAGTCGAATTTCTCCTGTACCAAGTCCAGAATCTGCATGTACTGCAGAAACCACTTCACCTCATCCCAGTCATGATGGAAGTTCATTTAAGACTCCAGACACAGTAAGTCTTTTCAATATGTTTGAGACTGGGAAATGTGATGAGTTAAGGATCTCATGATTTTTATAGGCTGGTAGCAGAATTCACTTGTAGAGCAGTAATAAAGCCACATGTCTGTGACTGATTTACAAAGCTGCTGTCCTAGATGATTTCCTTTTTATTAGTTCACTGTAGTTATACCCTGCTTCCTAAAGTATAATCTTGCACGTAGAAATGGCTTTCATTTTTTAGAGTAATTTATAGCTAAACAGTTAATAGCAAATCATTCTTTTAAAGAAAAAACAAAACTTTAATTTCAGGTCAGGAGTAAGCAAAATGGTCAAATCTAGCCTCCTTTGTTTTTTGTATTTTTTATTTTTTTGTAATCTGTATTGTTTTTAGATTTTCAAATAGGGGAAAATAACAATTTTTTGCAACAAGCAGAAAGGATACAAAATTCTGATTTCATTGCCCATTAAATGTAATTGGAACATACCCATACTTGTTTGTAGAGTTATCACTTGTGGCTGTGCTTGTGCTTCAGGCAGAGATCAATAGTTTGATAGAAATTGTGTGGCCTACTTGAGCCTAAAACATGTACTCTCTGGCCTTTGGCATAGAGCAGCTGCCAACCCGTTAATAAAATTCCTGACATCACCTCTTACTGTCAATCCATTGTCATTAAGTGGAAGATAGAAAGGACAGGTTAAATTGGTATAATTAAGTTATATTGATGGGATTTTTTTTTTCTTTTTTTCTTTTTTTTGTACCAGGGATCAAACTCACGACCTCACTCTTGCCAGGCAGGTGCTTATGCTGCTGAGCTAAATCCCAGCCCCTAAATTGGTATAATTAGTTGTGGGAAGGGGAAGAGATAAAAATGTTTAATTTGCTCAATTTTTAGATTGAAAAGTAATCTTTTTGCGTTTTTGTTTTTTGAGACAGGTCTCACTATGTAGTTCAAGCTGGCCTTGAATTAACTATGTTAAGTTGCACTTTCAAAATATCCTGTTTCATGCTTGGGAGGCTGAGACAGTAGGATCACCACAAGTTTGAGGCCAGCCTAGGTTACATAATGAGTTCAGGGCCCGCCTGAATGGGCAAGGCCTGCCTGGCAAGCATGAGGTTATGAATTTGATTTGGGGATCAAAATAAAAAGGCCACCCTGAACCATACAGCAAGATCCTATCTCAGACACACACACTCTCAGAGACACACACACACGACATTGTGTTACCTACTAACTATTGATTTCCTGTTGTCTTGTTCTGAAATCCTGTGTTATTTGCATTGTTTTGGTCTGATCTGCTTTGTTCTGTTTTGTTTTGTTTTTTATTCTCTTTAAAATAAAAAATAAAAAAAACCAAAATATCCTTTTCAATTGATATGTCAATTGGGGAAACAAGTAGAAAAATGAGGGGAAAAAAGGAAAAGAAAAATGAAGTATAAGGAAATCATTTGAAAAAGAGACACATAGAAGAAAAAAGATGAAGGGAAAAGAAATCAAGTTAAAGGATTTTTGAA